CAGCTTACGGTCGGCCGAAAACTCGCGATTCGAGCCGGCACACCGCCCCGACGCGAGGACAATAACCCGCCGTGGAATTCGATCGCGTATATACGCCGCGACGAGAGCGAAGAGGCCGAGAGCTTCTCGCCCGAGACTCCGATGACTTTCCAGGGATGGGAAAGGGGGGGAAAAAAAAAGGGAACCGCAAGCACATTATGGGGAAACGCCGGCACTGCTCACGAAATAAATCTCTCGGGAGGGAAAATAACGCGACGAGGCCGCTCCCCGGAATGGAGCGATACGAGGAATGACCCCGGCACGGTCTGATTTCGTGAAGACACATTCGCATTGTCGCGCTCCGTTTCCTTCGCCTTTGTACTGGCCCTTTTACCTTCACGAAGCTGATGCTCGTGGTGGTGCCTTCGATGTCGACGAGCACCGTCTTCGCGAGTGAGATCTCGTCCTGATCCTGGCTGCGCTTTTCCCCGGCCATTTTCACGAACCGACTCGCCCACGACCGTAGGATTAATAGCGGTTATATCTATATGTATGCTCCCCCTCGGTTAGGTTGGCGCTCACGCTGTATATGTCGGCGACGACGCGTTCTTGTTGGGAGCCGGCGAACGAATTCGCTGTGTTGGCCGTGCGCCAATCTACGCTGCCGGTATATGCGTGCGAACTCGCGAGTCCCCCTCTGCTCGTCTCGCGTCTCGTGTCGTGGCCCGCGCCCTGCTAGTGCTGCCTGCTGTACCCGGTAACCATGTCCGTATCAAGACATCTCGGCTGCCCTAACTTTCACTCGACCCGCTGATTCAACGACTCGTGAAATAGAAAGCCTAAAACCATCCAATGCCCGTATTCATAGTCAAGGCCTTGTACTTAAGGCTTCCTTAAACTTATCCTCGGATGCGCTCTACGAATTATTTTATTCTCTACCGGTCTAAAGATGCAATTTAAGGAAGCCCTAAATATAAGGCCTGACTATGAATACGGACATACGAGTCGTCCGTAAAGAATACAATATATCCCTTTGGAAACTTTTTATTGGACAATTTTTTATACAGATATTTTTCATTTGTGAATGAATGATTTATGAATTTTAATAAAACGGACGAGTGCATCTCTACGTTTCGATGCGCCTAATAAACTAAACTGTCGATTAACATCTTTCCTTACTAATTTCTACATCGCAGCAATTAGTTTTTTTTTTTTTTTTTTTTTTAATAAAAATGATCAGATATTATCAATAATATCAGTGCGATTGCGATTGGTGGGAATGAAAGGTAAAGAATACAATTTTCGTGGAAGAAGCACCGGGTTCCGCGACGAGTCGCGACGACTCTGCATCGAATACAAAACCGCTGCTCGTATTAACGTGTAGATACTTGCGATCGCATGGCAGTATGAGTGCGCGGCCGCGAATCGCTCGTTCCACCTTGAGTTTTCGTCCAATGAACTGTCTCGGTCGTCGCGAATCGAGACGTGCGCTTGTGTGCGCCCTACATGCAACCTTCTTGCCTACGCGAAAATTTCGCGATGGTGGACCTCGTGGAAATTCGTCCACCATGGCGAGCTTCCTCGATGGATCAGCATGAAAAGTCACGTCATGCCTGTCCCCGTCCGCGAAAGACGAACGATCGGTTTGACTCGGTTAAATCGTTCGAATATCGACTTGTTGACGAACCTCTCGCCGATATCCCTCCGCGAGAAAGTAGTCCCGTCGCGTGCTTTTTTTTTCACGTTGACTTTCGATAAACGACACGTGACTCGACGAACCTTGAGCATTTCTTTCGAAATTTACGTGCATCATGCTGCAATATCAATTATTTCGCGATTCTGAGATGGATATTTCATCCTTGCGATTGAAAATCTGTCTTGATTGTACGTTCGTTCATGGACTTACACGGGCAACCACCTGATTTTTGCATTGCTGCGTCCATTTAAATGTCTGCGTGACGCGCGCACGATAGTAGCCATTTAAATTTGAATGAAGATGATCGTGTTGCCTTCTCATTTCAACGATGTTGCGTGATGCAAACGTACGAATGTTTGCACGATATATCCAGAGCTGAGCATGTATTTTAATAGTTTTATTTAAAATACAGTTTTTGCAATACAAGTATTTGCAATACTTTGTATTTTATATTTCAGTGGGGCACATGAAAATATTGCGTATTTAAAATCGAAAGATTAAAATATTTTGTTTTTTTGTAATTCAAATAATATTGATTATTGATCTTAACCTTTAAATTACAAAATACAAAATACCTTTATATACTTCCATGAGACAAAATATTTACATGTGCTTCGTTGAGATACAAAATACAATTTGTCTTACACATACTATTTTTCAAATAAAAATATTTCAAATACATGTCCAGCCTACCATCATGTACTTTTTTATTTTTCGGATTATGCTCTCAATATTGATATATTTCAAATATACACAATTGTATAAAGTTAGATAATAATTGTGAAGGTGAAAGTCATAGTAGTGTAAGTCACTTAATTATGATTTCGAGAAACAAAAAGTTTTTTCCAATATATTTACTTCAGACTGCACCAAGTTAAGCTCAAATTGAACCTAAAAAAGTGACTTACACCATTATCGCTTCTATCCCTTCAAAGATTGTACTATTTTAATTAATATTTATTAAATAATGATTTACAATAGTGATTACATCGCGTATATAAAGCATAATATTAGTCAAACAATAACGTTATGAATAAATGACACAATCGATCCTATATTATATCCACCTATAAGAATACAATTAAATCTATTTATTTGTAAGTACAATAATAAGCATTGTAATGAAAACATAATCTAAATACAAATTAAAAATGAACTAAATTAATAATAGTAAAGATAATATTGAACATATAAAAATATTACTAATCATTACACCACAAATCATATAATACATGTAAATGTACATATAAATCAAACTAATATAATTCATATAATTTATCGGTCCCTTTTCTTTAACTCTTAACAGTCGTCTTTAACTCTTATCATTATATTTTGCTTTATTATTATATGTAAGATCTGTAAATATGTAAAACAAACATTGATACTATCATTAAGAGTTATAGAATAAGAGCTATTAATTTGGTACAGCTGCGTACGATTAAGAAGTATATAAATTATACTACATATACAGTGAATGCAAAAAGTATTCGTACAGAGAAAATATTTTTTAAAAAAACTATTTATTTATTTATTTAAAAAAAAAACTTTATTATTCAGCGAGAAATGAGTCATCAATTGATGTCGAATCGATATAGGTACGATGATTTCAACATCAATTTGATGCCGATTCGATGTTTAATTGACGATCATCATTTCTTATGTGTGTGTTGGATAATTAATAATTTATTCATAAAGACTAAAATAGACTGTATGTTTCTTAACAATTATATATACCAAAAAGATGTGTATTAATTATACAAAATAAATTATCTGAAAAATAAGTGAAAATTAAAAATTGTTTTATTTGAATGCTCAAAAAGTATTCATACGAGAATTTTAGCTTCTAAAATCAGGCATACATGCGAAGCTCGTTTGTTTATGTTAGAACAGAATGTATTTGTATAAAACTGCTAATTAATGTTTATTTTCTACGAATTTGCTTGTACGAATACTTGTTGCTCTCACTATATGTATTTTAAAAAGCAGCATCAATATAT